GTTCGTTTAACGTGATGTGGGTTTTTTAAGGGGTGGTTAATGAAAGTGTTCCATAACGCAACATTAATCATCCATTACTAATTATTACTTTTCTTATTAATCCAGCGGAGTTTACAAATTTGACGATATTCTACAGCTGCAGGGAACGAGAAATTGCGAGAAGTGAAGGAGCTGGACTCCAAGATACAGTTCGACGATCCGGCTAATATTCAATTTACATCGGTAGGAGAAAATTACGACCATAAATACTTAGTGAGCTCTATATAAAATGTATGTCGTATTCAACAATATTTAAAACATTTTGTTTTGTTTTATATTATTTAATAATAGAATATAGATATGTATATCAAACTTATCATATTGAAATATTATAAAAAAATACAATTCTGACTATCGTCTGTGCCTCTAAACTGACTAAAGTGTGTTCTTTTCAGGGAACCACGGGTAAACCCAAGGCAGCAACACTTTCTCATTTTAATCTCATCAACAATGCGGTTGTCCTTAGCAACCGAATTATAATACCAGGAGTGGTAAGTATTGTTGTAAACTACACCTTCATAACCGTGCTCTCATACCTAGTGTGGTAAGTATTGTTGTAAACTACACCTTCATAACCGTGCTCTCATACCTAGTGTGGTAAGTATTATTGTAAACTAAACCTTCACAATGGACTGTCATACCTATTGTGGTAAGTATTGTTGTAAACTACACCTTCACAATGGGCTGTCATACCTAGTGTGGTAAGTGTTGTTGTAAACTACACCTTTACAATGGACTGTCATACCTAGTGTGGTAAGTATTGTTGTAAACTACACCTTCACAATGGGCTGTCATACCTAGTGTGGTAAGTATTGTTGTAAACTACACCTTCACAATGGGCTGTCATACCTATTGTAGTAAGTATTAATCAGTATATTATCATAATTAGTTTCTGAATACAAAAACATGATTCCGAATAACCCCAGCACTTTCAGTGACCTTTCATCTACAGGGGCAATCCAATCCAAATCCGAAAATCATGGTAGTAATTTCAAATTAAAATGCTTGACTCTAAACTACGGTCAAACGCAACCGGGGGTGCTCAGAAATTCATTTCTCTTTACCCCGCTCGTGATAAGAGATTATTTGAAATAGCTACGTGGAAAAAATAAAAATAGATAATACTGATGATTGTGAAGAGCTGAATGATAAGCAGGTAACTGCAAGGAAAAGATTGGAGAGAAAACCTCGGACGTCAGATTTTACATTTAAACTTAAATTTAACCCAATGGCGAATGTCGGATTTATGGTCATTCAGGGCGGCGGGGGGATCTATAGACACGATGCTTAGATTTGGGTGGGGAGGGGACGGAAGAACTCCGAGAAACTCAGGGGCAAACTGGAATTGACCATGAGATAAAGTGGAGATTGAGTGACGTCATGCAAGCTACCATAGAAATCCGGAACTATTTTGAATTACTTTTAATGTATTGTTGTAAGTTTCTCATTTCCGGTATAGTACTACCGGAAACAAGAATTTTAGGTATAAAGAAGTTACAGATGTATTGTTTTAAAAATAAAAAATGGTCAAAAGAAACTACACTGAGTGTTGATAAAGTAAAGAGAAAGTGAGATATGATTTAAAAAAGAAACGTTAAACAGATATAATTAAAAGATAACATGGAAATTACCATAAACAAATAATAAGAAACTGAAAATTCAAACTACACAAACAACAAAAATTTCATATTTCTGACAGAGAGCAAACCAATGGTCGGAAATCACTTTTTCCTTGATCAATATTTATTTCATAATTTTCTGAATAATACTTGAGTGATTACGATAAGCTTTACTTGAAAGTTCTATGTGGACCACATTAGATACATACTAATTCGATGACGAGGAACCCACTTTGAGACTAATAATGGCTGGAGACGGCTTGAATGGGTAATGAAGAAAAACTTTAATACAACAGCAAATGTACAACGTTT